CAATATATTGAAAATGTTTACTGTTGAAAAGTATTTGGAATGAAAAGTGAGCTGATGCAAGTTTGTAACATGGCCAGAAAAAAAAAAGATTGAAAAGTGAATTGGAATCCAACTTTATTTTGGATTACTAATATCTTGAATTCCCCTCGAGCAGTAATGTAATACTATATTCTAAGGTATAGAACAACAAGCAAACTTAAGTAAAAAAGAATTTTTAGAATCTTATAAAACATGATTTAATAGCGGTGCGGGTCGGTGCGGTTTGGAAAAAAAAAAAAGAAACCGGCGGATTGATAAAAGTGTCACTAGAATTTGCTATTTTTCTTACAAAAAATCGGCGGTTCAATTGGCAAATAATAATGAATTTGCCTTGGCGGTGCGGTTCGGTGCGGTTTTGGCGGTTTCGGCGGTTTCGGCAGTTTCGGCGGTATTATGCACACCCCTAATTTTAGTGGTCCAAATTCTAAACATTTGATTAGTAGAATTAATAATTAGGGAATTAACAATATGTGTAATTAGTGTAGGATTACTTATCTAGCATGATTAGTAAATAATTATTCACGTCTATTTTGCAATGAATATAGAAATATATAATCTCAATTATATATTTATTTTTTTATTATTAGTTGTAAAATTAAAATTCGTCAATTTTGTTAGATATAATATTCATTGAAATCAAATTTGAATAGCAAAAATTACATCTAAATATTAGAATGTGAGTAAATTGAAAAAAATTACAAACATTAAGAACCCAATGAAATATATATATATATATATATATATATTAAGGGTCGAAATAAAAAAATATTACAAAAATTATTTACAAATTAATGAATACTTTGCTATACTAAAAATCAAACTCATAAAAATTTTCATGACATTAATATTTATTTTTGAATTTTTCACTCTTTTATTATTTCCCTCTTCAAATTTGAATCATTAAAAATTATTGCAAACAAGAAAATCCAAAGCCAGGCATATGACAATAATGTTGGCTAATGTTGGTTTTCGTGGATTGTAGAGATTGTTTTGCCGCCCTTCTATCCACACAACCATTAGCTTCTCTTCGCCCGTGTTGTAAAGAACAATTCCATCCTCTCACCATGAGGCACTGAATTTCCAACACTAAATTATGCTTCAGATGTATCCGATCGAGCTGCTCAATCAAGTCAAGAACAACTTGAGTATCAGATTCCAACACCACAAGTAGGAAAGCTTTAACCCAAGCTGCCCACAAGCCTTGGAATATAGCCCACAACTCCGCCCACTTTTCATTAAGGGCCGTGCTATGTCCCCCGAAATTCCTCCCCCCCTAATCCCCCGAATTTTCAAACCAAGGCAAAAAAAAAAAAAAAAAGTTCCCCAAAACGAAGTCCCGTTTTGGGGATTAGGGGGATTAGGGGAGGCTTTTTTAGGGCTCCAAATCATTTTCCTTTCATTAAATAATGGAAAATACTAAAAACAATTTTAAGGGGTTGTCATTAGTTTTGATAAATTAAAATATATATATTGATTTGTGTTAAAAAAGTATTAAAATTTATAAAAATATATAAAATGTATATTAGAATTATAAATATTTTATCCTAATTTCTTTCTTATTGATAGTCTTTAAAATTGTCATTAGCTTGATCCTTAAATAATTACGTGAGGTAGACCTTTCATTAATTGAGAGTTGTTATTTGGTAGTCTTGAAGTATTATTCTACGCTATTTATTACTTAGTACTTGACAAATTGTCTTGCAAAAAATCAACAAAAAGTATTGGATGTTATTATTTTAATTAATAAATATTAAATTAAAATAACACATGAATTTGTCCCGGAACTATCAAATAATTTTCCGTCTATTGATGTGTTGATGACTTCTAAGCATTAACACTTCGAGCTGGGTAGAAGTACAGAAATGGCAAGAGAAAGGGATGGGAATTGTTAGAATATAATATGTAAGGTATTGCTTTAATAATTAGGTTAGTATAATAATTAGTATGCTTTAATAATGTACCTTTAATAATATTGTTTGGTTTGTGCTTCTACTTTAGATTTGTAATTGTTCTCCCTCTCCTCTATAAAGGAGAGAGCTCAACACAACATTCAATACATCAATATATACATAATTTATTCTCTCTCTATCAATTTATCTTACATGGTATCAGAGCTAAGTTAACAACCTAATCATTCTGCATCACCGGCGAGCGGCAGCCTCACCTTGGCCGCCCGCCGGACCTCTACACATACCTTCACTCCGCTGCCACATTTCTTGCTACTGGAGTTTTGTACTCATCCCCGTGACCTCTCATGTGCATCCTTAAATTAGCATCTCTCTTGAATCCCTTTCCACATATCATACAGAAATGGTTTTGTTCAATCTTGCAACTACCAGCTAGATCAACATGGTTGGACTAATCAGAAACTTTTCTTCCACCAATATTTTGTTGCACAGCACTGCCGTTTAAACCAGCACAGCACTGCCGTTCATCAATGGCGACATCGAGCCACCATCGTCTCCTCCTCCAATTGTCAATCCTCCTCGGCCTTCTCGCCAATCGCGGCAGCCACCGCCGCCAACCTCGGCCCCGACGCCGCCTTGTAAAGCGCCCCTGTGCCCAGACCCGCCACACCACCTTCTCATCTCTCCTTAGCACGACGCCCTCATCACCGTCACTGCTGATGACGACGGCTTGACCCACCGTCACTCCAAACGCCTCCGCAGATACGGCCTTCGTTATGATGATCTCTTCGATTCCTATTACGATCTGGACGTGAAGGAAGCTTTGAATCGTCTTCCTCGTGAGATCGTGGACGCCAGGAATCAACGCCTCAAGCGAGCCATGGACCTCTCCATGAAGCACGACTACCTCCCTACACTTGCAGGCAATGCAAACACCATATAGGAGTTATCTTCAAGATATGTTGGCCCTTGTGAAGAGGGAGAATGCTGCACGTGAAGCTTTGGGAGCTTTGCCCCTCTATCAGCGCACCATTCACACTGCCACATACATCCCTCTCTTTTGATCATGTTTCATACGCAAACAGCTGGACTGCACTATATTTAATCAATGCTCTCTCTTTTTTTGTTACTCCCCCGGGCCCCATCCCCTCGAGACAATTGCGTTGTGCTTCTTTTTATTTTATTAAAAAAAAAAAAGAAAAAGAAAAAAAAAAGAAAAAGAAAAGAAGCTCAGTTGATGATTCCCTTTGCACTCACATGTTTCCCACTCTCTCCTCTTTGATTTCAAATACATTATTATTCTTTATTTATTTATTTTTCTTTATTTATTTACTTTTCCCTTCCATGATACACCATCCGCCAACTTTTGTCCCCCTCTTTTCCTTTCTTTTTATTTTAATCTTGTCCACCCACTCTTCTTTTATTTAAACACAAAACCACTTTTATTTTATTTTTTTTTAATTCCATTCTCCCCACACACACAGCTCCCAACACACCTGTCGGACCGGTGTAGAAGGACAGTTTACGAGGTCATGCCGGACCGATGTAGCAGGACAGTTTACGAGGTCATGCCGGACAGATGTAGCAGACAGTTTACGAGGTCATGTCGGACCGATGGTGCAGCTGACCGGAATCAATGTCGGGACAGTTTATGGGGTCATGTCGGACCGTTGTAGAAGCTTGTGATGGTGCACCAAGGGGGCGACTTAGGGAGTGCGCCATGAGGTGGCTTGAGTGGTTCCCATGGTGTATAACCATGCTCACCAGCTTGGGTGGTTCGCATGGTGTGTAACCATGCTCACCATGATATAGGTACAACCCCCCCTCAAACTCAAATAGGTGTGAAGATAAAAACCTATTTGAGGGTGAAACAAAGGGATTGAAAAAGTGGAGCAGAGCAGCTCAACACAGAGTGGAGATGTTATAAAAAAAAAATAATAATAATAAGAAAAAAACATGACCCCGTAAACTGTCTCGACATTGATTCCGGTCAGCTTCTACAACGGTCCGGCATGACCCCATAAACTGTCCCGACATTAGTTCCGGTTAGCTTCTACATCGGTCCGGCATAACCTCGTAAACTGTCCAGACATTATCTGCTACAACGGTCCGACACGACCATACAGTGTCTTCTTCAACGGTGTGACACGACCATTCCGTGTCTTCAACAACCGTCTGACACGACCATACAGTGTCTCCTATTCTATTTTATTTTATTTTATTTTTCTACTCTCTCCAAACTCAAGTTGGTTGGTTCCTATCCTCCTTGAGTTTGAGGGGGGCTGTTAGAATATAATATGTAAAGTGTTGCTTTAATAATTAGGTTAGTATGCTTTAATAATGTACCTTTAATAATGTTGTTTGGTTTGTGCTTCTACTTTAGGTTTGTAATTGTTCTCCCTCTCCTCTATAAAGGAGAGAGCTCAACACAACATTCAATACATATTCAATACACAATTCTTTCTCTTTCTTTATACATAAAACTATCAGTTTCAATTGCATTAAATTAATATAATTTAATTAACAATGTCCCACTAGAAATTTGATAGAATTTAAGAGGTAAAATAGTTCATTACTCTTTAATCAATGATTGACAATCAATTTGAAATAGTCTATTATCTTTTGAATGGATAATTTTCGACCTTATTTTTGTTTAATTTCTTAACAAACACAATTTATTAAAAATAAAATAAAATTAAAGAACAAAATTGATATAATTGAAACTATATAACCAAATTAACATGACAAACAAATTACAAGGAACACAGGGAAAAATTCCTAAAAAACAAACATTGAACATATACAAATCACTGATAACTATGATGGGAATGATAATATATATGAATATAGATGATATCCACTGTCATAGCTTTTTTATCCTAGTAAGAAAAAACATTTAAAGTAAGACGTGACCGAAAGCCGAGCTGGGTACTTCTTCACAACCGGAGCCTGCAACACGAGCCAGCCGGACCACGACAAGCAATGGCCGATCAAGAAGAGGCAACCCAGCGTCCAATTCTTTCCCCTAGCGTCTCCAACCACGCTGACATCGCCGACTACCTCCCAACGGAGCTTGGTCTCCTTCCCGGCCTCCACCCTCTTCGGGGTCTTCACCTTCTTTCAGATCACACCCTCCACCCCCGCCATCATCCGAGGTCAATCCTTCACCGCCTCCTCCCCTGCCAATGCACTCCTTCCCACCTCCACCTACTGAAAGAGTTTCACCAAAGACTAATCTTCCTCCGCCTCCTCCCCCACCTACAGAGCCTAAACCTTCAACACCCACACCCAAGGCCTATCATGCACCGCCTCCACCCCCACCTACTGAAAAAGTTTCACCCAAGACTAATATTCCTCCCCCACCGCCTCATTACACGCCCTCACACCATAAACATTCACCTCCTTCACCGCCATCACCACCACCACCACCACCTGTTTGGGTCTCCCCGCCACCTCCGGTTGACTTCGTTCCCTCCGTACCCAAAACATCTCCTCCGCCGCCCATTGGCAACTCACCGCCTCCTTATAAACACCACAAAACACCTCCACCACCACCGCCCGTTTACTATGTACCCTCGCAGCCTAAAACTTCACCACCGCCACCTATTCAGAACTCACAGCCGTCCCCACAGCAGCCAATTAAGCCGCCATCACCACTGTCCTCGCTTCCTCCACCTCCGCCTCCTTATGTAATGGCTCCTCCACCAACAGAAACTTCACCTCCCGTGCCAGTGAAGCCCACTCCTCCACCTGAATCTGGCTGTGGTCTGCCAGGATCACCACCACCACCAAGTTATGACCATTCACAATCGTCCCCGCCTCCTCCTACACAGCATCACCATTACCCATCACCGCCACCGCCACCGCCACCGCCGCTATTGTATAACACTCCACTTCCTCCCATTGGAGGAGTCTCCTATGCATCTCCTCCTCCCTTCCTTTTCCCCCTTCCCCTTCCCCTTCCCCTTCCCAAAACCAAAATACAGAAGGCAACAAAACCAATAACACATGTCTCCTCCGCGTTTATCTGCTGGTGGTGGTGGACGCCGACTCAAATTGTTGACCATCTTCATTGTCTTCTACTTTGTCATTGTTCAGATCTGCTCGGCGTCGGTAGCTGCCGCTGATGACAATGACAATAATGACAATGACATGGACGATATTGTGAATAATAATATTAAGGCTCTTCAGTTTGAGAACCCAAGTCTCCGTCAGGCCTACGTTGCCCTCCAAACATGGAAATACGCCATCTTCTCCGACCCATTCAATTTCACCGCCAACTGGAACGGTCCCAACGTCTGCTCTTATTTGGGAGTGTTCTGTGCTCCTTCTCCCTCCGATCCTTCTCTAAGGGTTGTCGCCGGCATCGACCTCAACCACGCTGACCTCGCCGGCTACCTCCCAACGGAGCTTGGTCTCCTTCCCGGTCTCCACCCTCTTCGGGGTCTTCACCTTCTTTCCGATCACACCCTCCACCCCCATCATCCGAGGTCATTTCCTTTTCGTTCGGTTCTTGGCGAGATTCCGCCCACTTCCGGGTTGGGAGAGGTTGTCAATTTGTTTGTGAAGTATCTGACAGCGTCAATAATAGGATGTGAAATCTGTAGTGCATGTGCAATATGCTGCATTTGAAAAGAATATCACATTTTAGGGAACATATTAGAAAATAAAAAGTAAGTTACATATGCATAAGAGAAGGATAATAGATTACATCCGCATATTCGCTGAAATCCTAATGGTCATGGACACCCGGTTCATCAGTGTGCTCAACATATAGGTGCGTGATATTCTTATACCAATCCATGTAACTCGGTACACATTCCCAAGGCTGA